AATTACCATTATTATTATCATAATTATTATCAACATCACCATCATCATCGTCATCATCGTCATCATCGTCATATTATTGAATTATTATTATTATTGATTATTATCATCTTTCATCATCATCATCATCATAATTCATTTTCATTAGTATTAATTTTCCTCGCCAGTATAATTGGTTGACCGTAATCCTATCTCCATCTTTATAAAATATGTCATGAATACTTAAAAGTTTATTCGTTAAAAACAAAATGTTCATTGTAGATCAAATCCTGGCACTGTTCGTTCACTGAACTTTACGTTAATCAATCATCACAATACAGAAAGCTTGTACGCAGTAATTGAAGTCAATTCAATTATGGTTTATTCGTAATATATACGAATCATCAAAATTAACGCACATATTCGATGAAGATGCGGCATCTCATCAAATAGGTTTATTTTAATGGTTACTTTCAATTTTTGTATTAGAAATGTTTGTATAGCAATTGTTAAATACTTTCTCAACTCTTTCGCTCAAACAACTTCAATTTTTTCTTCTCCATTCTCCTTCCCACCGTCTTGGTCTTTTAACATGAAAGTATATTATCACATTAAACTTATAACTTTGTTTTGCAATTTCGATTTCATCTTACCAATGCTAAATAATTTCTGCAAAGGTTGACTTACAATATGTATTTTAGTTTTGTATATGTTTATATCTCTCTATATTTTTAACTTGTTTGTAAATTGAACATTTTCAGCCTGCGAGCTGCTTGTTTGATGTGATTTCTCAATAAACCAAACCAATTCAATTCAATGAATATGCAGATTACAGGGTTTTTTCAATTAATAGATAGTTCAACAGATAGTCTACAGATAAAAAAACCCACATTCTAGGTTAAAAGATACATTTTTCAGTTGTGATTTAAAACTCAGAACCAGGACAATGTACGTACAGTGGCGGATCCAGAGGGGGACAGGTAAAAACAGGTTAATTTTACCTTTATTTGAAGACGGGCCCCCTCCCCTGGTACTCAAGGGGGGGGGGGGGGAGGGTGCGATTTTCAAATTTTCGGGGGCAAACAAAAATAGAGCTCTCTACCCCCCCCCCCCCTCCCTCTATAAAAAAACTGAAATAGCTTTGATGATAACTTGCTGCAATTATGTTTATGGGTATTTCTAATTTGTAATTGACCTTTCCTCCGAAATTGCCCAGACGAACGGCTCGAAAATGGAAGACGTTTGTCAAGTAAAATGAATATTATAGCATAGGGACACCTATGTGCAGTTATTGTGAACTATATTCAACGTACATTCAACTAATCAAACTATCACTTTCAACGATAGTTCGAGATTATGACAATTATTGTCCATTTTCTAAAATTCATAAATTTGTATTAAAAAATAGACTAATTTACATGTGTCAAATTCAATTGTATTTGGTTATAAAACATTAAAAAATCAAGGCTTAGTCACTGTACAGATATCTTACACACACAAAAATGTAGACAGGTAGGCCAAATTATTGTTCTGCTTAAACAGTGTACGCTTAAGTTATAGTACAGTACGTCATATATTGTAATCCGGTCGTGTTCTTTCTTGGTATATGGAGAGGAGTGAAACAGTTAACTGCTTTTTAGATCAATTATTAACTTTCATTCTGGTACGTCCACTAGCGTTGGTGACACTTCTTTTACACTCAATCCAGGTGATGTAAATGGGTACCTGGCAGGAATTAATTCCTTGAAATGCTAAATGCGCCTCGGAATAGAATTTCTAGATAGATGGCGCTATATAGAAATGCCTATTAGTATTATTATTATTGACTGAACGTAGGCCTACGTATGAAAATGATAAATTCGCGGAAAAGGGGGTGAATTTCTTGGGATGATCGCGGTTTTAAAAACAAGAAGAAAAGAACGTACATAGGCCTACATCATGTATATTATGTTTTGTTTTTAAGAGCAACGAAATCACTTCACGATTTGAATTTGTAAGGTTTGAATTACACATCGGAGAGTGGATTCCACTACTTTTTAGCAGGATTCCACCACAAAAGCGAAATCATCCTCAAATAACCCCTCAAAGATTGGATTTCCACTCGTCTCCTTTTTATAGAGTCTATATAGAAAGCCCCTCCCCCTCCCTTATCTTTTGCCTGACATAGTATGGAAGTGTTCCAACTAATTTATATAACCTTGGAAAAGAAGGTTATTACTCTTGCTATCAAATGAGAACTTTAGAAAATACACTGTCGCTCATAAAGCTGGAATATTTTTGTTTTACCCCAATTTATGGAATTATTTTAAAAATAATAGATCTAGATAATTATACATTCTCAAACGTTATTGAATAATAATTTGACAATGTGTGTTTTGCGTGACTGCTAAAGCATGTGTATGCTACTATTCTTATCAACTACGTGACCTACGCCCTTAAGTCATAAATGACAGCAATGAGGATTAATGCCCCACAAAAGGGCACTTATATAGCACATCGACACGGTTTTGATCCTGGGGCCTCACAGTTACGAGATCTTTGCTTTGTCACTGAACCATGACTGTACGCAGCGGGGGGCTAGGGTAGGGGGCAGTTTCCATAAATAAAATAAAAATATAAAATGCAATAAATTTTCAATAATTTATTACATTTTACCCCCGGTCCCTAACATAACAAATCCTCTGGACGGCCATGCATTATGGCTCAAGGCATGGGAACACATAGGATTTTTTTTATGTTGGGAACCAAAGTAAAATGCAATAAATTATTGAAAATGTATTGCATTTTCTTTCTTTTTTTTTTTATTTATGGAAACTGCCCCCTACCCTAGCCCCCGCTGCGTACAGTCATGGTTCAGTGACAAAGCAATGGCATCGTAACTGTGAGGCCCCAGGATCAAAACCGTGTCGATGTGCTATATTAGTGCCCTTTTGAGGGGCATTAATCCTCATTACTGTCATTTACGACTTAAGGGCGTAGGTTTCCTAGTTGATAGAAATAGTAGCATACACATGCTTTAGCAGTCACGCAAAACACACATTGTCAAATTATTATTCAATAAAGTTTGAGAGTGTATAATATTATCTAGATCTATTATTTTAAATTATTTTTTAAAATAATTCCATCAATTGGGATAAAACAAAAATATTGTACAATATCTTGCAAATTAAAGATTCAAGAATATAACCTTGGAAAAGTATATAAGTAGGTTAATACTCTTGCTATCAATTATGGGGACTTTAGAAAATACAATATCTTGCAAATTAAAGAAGCAAACGAATTCCTTTACGAATATATAATAATGGGTCAATTTATATAACGCAACTGTTATTACTACACTCTACTGCGCTTAATACAAAGTATCATAGTATTACCCTGGCTGTAACTGAGCTGCCATGATAAGGCGCTACAGAATGTCAAGGAATTACATTCCTGCCATATGCAGGCATCCACTTTACATCACCTGTGGCAAATGTAGATTAATGTCTTGCCAAAGGACATTGGAGCCGCGGCGGGACTCGAACCGCGGACCTTGTGGTCGATAGTCCCGTGACGAATCCACTCGACCACGACACCTCTAGGCTCTACTTGGCACATTTAATATTTCAACTTGTTTTTAGTTGCACATATTATATTTAAAAACTGAGCGATATGATTCATATGGCTCCGTTTAGTCTCATTTCACAACGCCCCCTATCGTCAGAGCATGATCAGAGTCAGCAGCCTAACATGTTAGCCTATGGACGTTTTTTTTTAAAATCGTTAAAAATTCATTTTTTGTTTAAACGAAAAGCACATCCACCCCGACGTACGTTATCACTAGGTCTTTCATTGGAGCCCTCATGTCTCGTTGACTTTTGAAAGTTCACCCACCGTAATTTTTCAAATAGGTTGCAAGCTCGTCATTGCCTATAATACACATGTGAAACAAGTCTAACTTTGTACTCAGTTTACCAAGCGATTTGAAGATTATAGGTCGAGCACACGAAACATAAAAAGCATGAATTATCATAGATCACTTCTGCCTATTTCATTATGTCCATTTCATCCAACCCCCCCCCCCCCCCCCCACCGTATTTTTTCATTTAGTAAAAGCAAACATTTTGCCGAGTTTAGCAAAAACATGAATATTCATGAACGGTCAGACAATACAGCCTTTTAGTACGTAACGTATAGTGAATGAGAATGGGCGATGATCCGTTCAGGAGGTAGAGGTCAGTGGTTTGTGCTGGCAATGTTCACGCGAGCGAAAATGAGACAATCGGAGCAATATGTTAGCTCAACGAAATTAAAACGAAGTATGAAAAGTCAGATTAACTTTAAATTAACACGATTGCAAAGACTTTCACGAAATCAAGTAAGTAAACCATTGTATTTTATCTAGAATCATGTTCGGATAATAGGTAATATAGACAAGGCTATGGATATCACCCAAAGTTATTTTCTTGAAAGTCATGGTGTTAGACCGGTCAAATCAACTCTAATTCATGCGGAATATTTCTATGAGCAACTGCTCAATAACTAGTAGTACTTCTATACACTTTCTGGGCCCCGTCTCATAATCGCACATCCTATAGTCAATCGCAAGTTTGCAGTCCCCTGTAACCTATCATTATGTACATAGTTGATTGATATCAATCGCAAATAAGTTCGATCAGAGAAACTGGCTTATATTCTACTTAATTCGACTCGACCTCAGATCTTAAATCACTTAGATCGCGTTTAACAAAAGGGAAAGTTAGACCTAACACTAATTTCGGAATCCCTATTTTTTTAAAACCCAATTAAGAACTAAAGGGCAACGTCAGGTTAACATTTTATTAGAATACAGGCCTAATAGTACAAGCCTACTTATGTCGATAAATTAGGGGTTTGGTTTGATTCGATGGGAGCCATTTCGGCATAATAATCCTTGGTTGCATCTACGCATTTAATCATGTCAGGGGTCATTTCATCACGTGGTACCGGAGGTCTGGGAGCTTTGAAACATGTGCTGTGAAGGGCCATTTCATGTTGCTGCCCATTCAGAGTCCCGTCTTTCTTCTTGAGGGGGAAAAGAGAGCGCCACTCTCCGCAGCAGTCGGGAGATTCGTCCCATTCCAGGAGACTGGGTCAAAGGGCATGCCTGATACCTCGCACAGCTTCGGTAGCAGCTCGGCAGGGTGCATGGCCAACTCGTCCGCGTCGATAATCACCGGGTTGGGATCGATGTTCTCGCGGACGTGTTTCCACAGGTCGAATTGACACTTGTACATGTATCCAGGCATCGAACGGGACGTCGGTGGTCATGTCGAACGTAGCGTCCTCGATAGGTTTTCCCGCCTCCATTCCCATGATCTTTAGCTGGATCATGAGCAACCGGCGCCATGATGGAAACATGCATTCGGGTTTGCGGATGAGGAAGACGTGTTTGAAGTTAGACTCCTTGCTGGGTAACATGTCATAGAAGCCTGTGACAGAGTATGCCATGTCCTTGATGATGTGAGACTTACCGGCTGGTAAAGAATCTAGTTGGTCCCGAACACTGTCTCGTCTGAAATAAAACCAATTCCGTTAGAATGTAACTACTTCCAATAGAACTAGGCCTGAGAAGAAGAAAAACAAAGACAAGTTGAACCTTGTACTTAAAACCGTTGGTTGCCTTCAACTTACTGGTTAAAGGTGACTTCTTGGATTCCTTTTTCCTCTGCGAGAAGTAGGCCTACTATTAATATCATGTCTTCAGTGAAAAAACTTTAAAAAGGATCGTACTTCAATGCTAACAGGCTTTCTATCGGCAAGTCCAGTATTGCAGGTAGTTCATATTTTGTACCCTTTCGGAAAAGTATTGATAAGTTGAGGCCTTTTCTATTGTTATTTATTCATTGATATAATATATACGAGTTCTGCCATCTTCAAAATGGTCTAAGGGCCTAGGGATGACCTTGTATCAAAATCATACGTCCTTGCCTGCAAAAGACTGTTAAACTTGATAACTGAAGAAGAAAAAATGCACTCACAAAATGAGGGACAAATCGATTTCGCCAGGAGAGTACGCGTTCTCCATTTTAGTTCCTTTTACTGCGGACGCCATGCCGCCAGCGAAAGCTTCCTGTTGAAATCTTTGATATAGCGAGGCAGAGAGACGCCCATCTTCTTGCAGGAGATATCGGTAAAGAATGCGAGGCAGTATGGCTCGAACCAAGTCTGTAGGAGAGAGAGAGAGAGAGAGAAGACAAAAATAAGAGAGATCGGGGGAAGGAAAGAGAAAAAAAGAGAGATCGGGGAAGGAGAGATAGAGAGAGGGAGAGAGAAAGAAGGAACTTATGAGAATGAGAAGAGGATCCAATGATTGATAATGAATAATGATGGTGGTTGTGGTGGTGGTGGTAGTGGTACTGGTAGTAGATGTAATGATTGTAATTATGTAATGGTTGTAATTATGTGATGATGAGGAGGATGATGACTATAGTACGATACGAGGAAATGAGGAGGAAGAAAAGGATTGCGATGATGGTTGTAATGACGGTGATGATTGTAATGATGACGAACATGATGGTGGTAATGATATGATGTGGAAGATGAATAGGATGAAAATGTTCGTAATGAGTATGGTGGTGTTGGTGATGAAGATGGTGCTAGTGATGATGGTGGTTATGATGATGACTAGTATGATATGAGGAAATGAGGATGAAGAAGAGGATTGTGACGATTATGATGGTGGTGGTAATGATTTGAGGAGGCGGAGGATGAATAGGAGGAAAATTTTCATAATGAGTATGGTGGTGGTGGTGATGGAGATGGTGCTAGTGATGATGGTAATTATGATGATGATGACGAATGTGATAGGGGTGGTGATGATGATGATGATGGTGATTGTGATTGCGACGACGGTCATGATGGTGATGGTGATGATGATGGGACAATGGTGATGATGATGATGGTGAATTGGTGATGTTGGTGGTGTTGATGATGATAAAGGAGGCAAATGCCTCGTTGACACTTGCCCGCATTTTGGTCCCGCACTGCCCCGCTCTGTGGCGTGCCAATGCGTGCCGATAAGTGGCACGCAGGGTCACGTCTACTTTACGAATAGTTTACGCAATGTGTAACCACCTGGACACGCATTCGTAGACTATGCGCATGGCATGCAAAAACTACGCGGAAAGTATGCGCAGCCAATGCGCAAATTGTGCGCAAATTAGTCGTTAACTAGTCGTGAACATGCGTGCCACTATAGGCCATCGGACACGCAACGGCGCGCACTGGCACGACTAGGCAGCGCATAGGGTGCGCATATAGTTCATGAAGTGTTCACGAACGTTGCCGAACAAAATTGTCGTGCTAAAATTGTGAACATTTTGAAAATTCTGTCACGCATTTCACGCACGGCCCGCATCCGCCCGCATCCTCCCGCAAGCTACCACGAATACTTCCCGCATTGGCACGCAAGAGTATGTGTCTATGCGCAAACTATGCGCAAACCAAATGCAGGCAAGTGTCACCGGGCAAAAGGAACACAATTGTTTCACTAATGTTTACCTGTGTATTTGGCTGGAAACCGAGGCATTTCAGAACACATGTTGAGATTGAGCGAGGTACAGCCCAGATGATTACACGGAATGGCTTCTCGTCGGTCATCTTCGAACTAAAAAAAAAAACAGAAATTATTAGACCACTGACCATTATCCGACTTCTCTGCCGACCTTGGCGCGGATCCAGGATTTCTTAGAGGAGGGGGCCCAACTTTTTTTTTTTTTCTCCCGAAAATTTGAAATCGCGCCGGCCGAAAAGTCGCTCAGTGGGGGGGGGGGGGGGGGGGGGGGGGGGGGGGGGGGGGGGGGGGGGGGGTGGGGGGGGGGGGGGGGGGGGGGGG